TTGTCTGGATAAAAAATTTTACAAGGACAAAGAAATATAGTTGATAGCCTCTACTGAAACTAAAATTATCAGGTAATGGCCAACATCCTAACCGTCTGCTCAAATGACTGTCAGGAAAATAGGAAGCAGGTCAATAATCCTTTACTGAAGGCACGCTGGGAGAAGACAGGTCTCGCTCTGTCAGCCAGGCTGGAGTGTAGTGGTGTTGTCAGATGATGACTCACTGCAGCCTCAACCTCCCTGGGCCCAAGTGATCCTCCCACTTCAGCCTCTCTCTCCAGTGGCTGGGACTACAGGTACACACTACCATGTCTGGCTAATTATTTTTGTATTTTTTTTTTTTTTGTAGAGATGGGTTTTGCCATGTTGTCCAGGTTGAAAAGAGATATTTCTAAAGCAGGGGTTCTCAAAGTATAATCCATAATCCTAAAACCTAAAACGCTGGGGAGGAATCTATACAGTCAAAGCTATTATTACTTTTTTTTTCTTTTTTTTTTTCTTTTGAGACAGAGTTTTGCTCGTTACCCACCCAGGCTGGAGTGCAATGGTGCAATCTCGGCTCACTGCAACCTCTGCCTCCCAGGTTCAAGCGATTCTCCTGCCTCAGCCTCCCGAGTACCTGGGATTACAGGCATGGGCCACCACGCCCTGCTAATTTTTGTACTTTTAGTGGAGAGGGGGTTTCCATGTTGACCATGGCTAGTCTCGAACTCTTGACCTCAGGTGATTCACCCACCTCAGCCTCCCAAAGTGCTGGGATTATAGGCGTAAGCCATCACGCCTGGCCCTCAAAACTATCATTACCATAATACTAAAATGCTATATGCCCTTTTCACTTTCATCATCTTGCAGATGCACAATGAAATGTTCTAGAAGCTATATGACATGTGATATGACAAGGCAGAAGGAAGAAGCAGAGGTGAGAATCCAGGTGTTTTCTAGTAAGCCACACAGTAAAGAGATTTTTAAAATATAAATCAATGACATTCTTCTATTTTTTTATTTTGAAAAATACATTTTTTCATAAAAATGTTAACATGATGAATTTATTATTTTCTTAATGAATTAATAAGTATTTTTTAATTTATCCGTTTTCATTTATAATATGGTAAATAATAGGTATAAATGACTGGGGTTCTGAATTTTTAAGCACTTAAAAGGGGCTTAAGATTTTAAAAAGAATGATCAGCAAGCCCTGGATCTAAGAAAAAAAAAGATGAGAACTGCTAACCTGCTGCCCTAGGAATTTTCCAAGTAGCTGTGAAGTTGAAAAAAAAAATCTATATACTTGGTTCTCTCTGATTATGAGACTTTAACATGATGCAATCATAAGCTTGAGAGTCTCATCTTAATAATGAAATTAAGGTGGAAAGTGCAGTGGCAAGAAGCCTGGACTGATAGAAGACTGACAACTAAGACTTAGTAGTGGCTTTACCACTAACCAGCTGCTGACTAAGGGTAAGTTACTGAGCTGCACATCACCTCCCCGGGCCTTTGTTCCTCCATGTCTAAAATAAATGGCTCCACCAGGTATTATGGCTCACGCCTATAATCCTAGCACTTAGGGAAGCTGAGGCGGGCAGATCACCTGAGGTCAGGAGTTCAAGACCAGCCTGGCCAACATGGTGAAACTCCATCTCTGGGAAAATACAAAAATTAGCTGGGCATGATGGAGGGTGCCTGTAATCCCAGCTACTCAGGAGGCTGAGGCAGGAGAATCGCTTGAACCTGGGAGGCGGAGGTTGCAGTGAGCCGAGATCACACCACTGCACTCCAGCCTGGGCAATAGAGTGAGACTCCATCTCAAATAAACAAATTAATTAATTTAATTAAATAATAAAGTAAAATAAAATGAATGGCTCAATCAGTTCTCAAGGAAAGGTGTATCAGACTCTCTGAGGATGTTATTTTTTCTAACTTTATATTTGCTCTCTTGCTTCCCCTGGAGATACTGATATATTCCCTCCCACCCCACCTGCCTTGAGAATTAGTGCATGTAATAGGACCCACTGCTGATGGCAGCAGGTTACGCTTGTAAAGGCTGTGATGATGTGGATAGAAAAAGTCTCAAAAACCACTGGACTGAATTACCTTTAAGATATAAAATTACTATCAAAGACAGAACCATCCCAATTATGCATGCGTGATAAGCTGGCCATCTCTCTTTCCTTTCCAGCAGGTACTCCAGACTTTTTGTCTGTGTACCAGGGCAAAAGGAATGAATGGAAAAGTTCCTAGTGCTCAGGCTAAGTTACACTGTCCCTCAAGGTCAATAGCAGCTCTGGGTCAGCTTGTTTATCACCCAGCAACATGCGTCAACAATTCCATAAGCTAGTGCCCTGGGCCATACCGTTGAAGATGAAATCCATGTATTTCACTTTTTTTTTTTTTTTTTTCTGAGACGGAGTCTCGCTCTGTCGCCCTGGCTGGAGTGCAGTGGTGCGATCTCGGCTCAGTGCAAGCTCCACCTCCCAGGTTCACGCCATTCTCCTGCCTCAGCCTCCGGAGTAGCTGGGACTACAGGCGCCCGCCACCATGCCCGGCTGATTTTTTGTATTTTTAGTAGAGATGGGGTTTCACCGTGTTAGCCAGGATGGTGTCGATCTCTTGACCTCGTGATCCGCCCACCTTGGGCCTCCCAAAGTGCCAGGATTACAGGCGTGAGCCACCACGCCCGGCCGTATTTCACTCTTTAGAATAACCCTAGAAGGGCAATTCTTATGTGAACCCATTTTCTAATTCAGTAGTAGTAAAGGGAGGCCTGACTAACAAAATTCTTGCCAAGAGGATGAGAAGGTTTTATTTTTTGATCGAGTCTTGAAGAAACCTGCTACGTTTTTTGGATTCAAGCAAGTATTCTTATTTGAACATGCTCTATTTGTTTACCTTATAGCCAAACAGAAAGAGTCCAACGAAAAGGCTGTAGAGGTCTGCTGTCAGGATGCCTAGGTTGACGGAAGTGGCACTTGTGACTTTAATCACCAATGGCATGAAGCTATAAAGGCAAAACATACACAGGGCAAATGCCACAAACAGCAGGGCTGTGGAAAAAAACATGGAATATCTAATATTAGCACAAGAAATCATAAGACAAAGGAGTTTGAGGCTTGGCTGCCATATAAAACTCCCTAATCCTTTAGCATATTATCTACAAAGCCCCTTGTTAACAGTTAGCATTGCAAATGAGACCACAAAGCTCTCTGGAAAAAAGAATATTAATAGCAAGTTGTGATGTAGATAAAGGACCTCAAAAATCCAACAAGGTGTTGGATGATCAAGGTCAGAAAATCCTGCTTATGGTGTGACTGAGTCCATTGCTCTTATCACCCCTTGCTATGCACCCTGCCAGGACGCAGTGATGTTTGTGATAAAAGGCCAGTAAAGGTAGAATCAACATCTCGTGTCAAGAAAAATCATTATCTTTTCTTTGCTTTTGTTTGGTTGGACATGATTCATATAACTGGATTCAGAATAAAGTATCTTTAAAGACATCAAAGACAGTTATTAGGTCCATTGTATTTTGTTCATCTCATTAAATTAAGTGCTCCAAGGCAGCGCAACATAATTATCCTCTTTAGGACAGTGCTTGCCATGTGGATGTTGACTACATTAGCAATTATCTCTGCTTTGCAACCATTTCTTTAATCTCATCCCATACGCAACACACACACACACACACACACACTCTTTCTGGCAATCTATTTTTATTTTTTTCGAGACGGAGTCTCGTACTCTTGCCCAGGCTGGAGTGCAGTGGCGCAATCTCAGCACACTGCAACCTCCGCCTCCCAGGTTGAAGTGATTCTCTTGCCTCAGCCTCCCGGGTAGCTGAGAGTACAGGCGCCC